TTTAAGCTACTTCGATAGGAACTGGGGGTCCCCTTTATTAACATATCTGCCCCGTCAATCGTGTCCGGAATGTCTGGGGAATCAGAAAAGACTTTGCGGGATGCTTTTGAGGAAGCAAAAGTACGTGGTTTCCCGAAACTGCTCGCAATCAAGCTGATTTAGTTTTTTAGAGGGTCGCGCCTTGTATCCTTTTCATCGATGAGATCGATGCTATCACCCCAAAACGCGAAAGTGCTCAACGAGAGATGGAGAGACGAATCGTGGCCCAATTTCTAACATGCATGGATGGTAATTTCCGCACAACGTCTTTCTTTCCCATCTGACGTAGATTTAGACATGTCTTGGGAGAAGAATGATAACAAACCAGTAATTGTGATGGGTGCTACCAATAGGACCGGACTCACTTGATGCTGCTCTACGAAGAGCTGGTCGGTTTGACCACGAAATCAGTATGGGTGTTCCGGATGAGGAAGCCCGAGAAAGGTAAGAAAATTGATCATCTATTAGCGTCATTCTCACCTTCATTCAGGATTTTTACGCGTCTTGTGCGTCAAACTGCGCATAGAGGGTGATTTCAATTTCGCCGCACTCGCCAAAGCTACACCAGGTTATGTGGGAGCAGATTTGTCGGCGCTTACTGCTGCTGCCGGTATCATAGCGGTCAAGCGAATATTCAAACAGCTGTCGGAAGGTACATTACAGCTACCGACGGAACCAGATTCGTCTATGCAAGTTGATGAACCCCAGATTGCTGCAGCAGGCATCATCATCTTCATTGCAGCCTGCCCCGATAATAAAGGCTATAACATCCTCCCTTTCATTTCCCACTTCATCCCCTCATTCCATCGCCCATTTTCCTCAACGCCCACCCTGACCCTCTAACGCCCGTACAGCTAGCTCCTCTCTGCATAACCTCGGCCGATTTCACAGTCGCCCTGACCCAGGTTCAGCCCTCTTCCAAGCGAGAAGGGTTTGCTACCGTGCCCGATGTCTCGTGGTCGGACATTGGTGCCTTGCATCGCACCCGAGATGAGCTACACATGGCTATCGTTCAGCCTATCAAACGACCGGAGCTGTTCAGTGCTGTTGGCATAGAGGCAGCATGTGGGGTATTACTCTGGGGACCACCAGGATGTGGGAAGACATTGCTGGCTAAAGCCGTTGCGAATGAATCTCGAGCGAACTTTATTAGCGTCAAAGGTCCTGAACTCTTGAACAAGGTAGCTTCAAGCTTTTCTTCTAATCGCCCTAAGCTCATGTTGTTCTTCAGTATGTTGGTGAAAGTGAGAGAGCAGTACGCCAAGTCTTTTCGCGAGCCCGGGCATCATCACCTTGTGTTATCTTCTTTGATGAGCTTGATGCACTCGTCCCTCGGCGTGATGACAGTCTGGTAAGTCACATTCTCTCGTCGTGTTGAACGCCATTATCTGATCATTTCGCCAGTCTGAATCATCAGCTCGGGTCGTGAATACCCTCTTGACCGAGCTTGATGGACTAGATGCTCGTAAAAGCGTATATGTCATTGCCGCTACCAACCGCCCTGATATGATAGACCCTGCAATGGTTCGTCCGGGGCGTCCTTGACAAGCTGCTCTATGTGGACCTCCCTAATGGTGATGAACGTACAGAGATCGTTCGTACTATGACACGGAAGGTACCTCTTGCTGGTGATGGAAGCGAATCACTAGACGCCATCCGAAAGTCGAGTGGAGGACTTTGTTCGCGAGCGCTGCGACGGATTCAGCGGTGCCGATCTGGCCGCTTTGGTTCGTGAAGCAGGTGTCATCGCCTTGCGCCGAACGCTTGGTGTGCTGGATCATATGGATGATGATACGAGAGGGCCCGAAGAGAGGCCGAAGGTCACGGTTCATATCTCTGACTTCAGTGCCGCCTTGGAGAACGTCGGGCCAAGTGTTAGCCCTCAGCAAAAGAAGAGGTACGAAGCGTTGAAATCCAAATTGGCAGGTTCGCCCGTGAAGATGGTGAAAGACGAGGTAAAAGGTGTAGAGGGAGAGGCGCAAGCGTAAATGTCATTCATCCGAGTATGGATTCGAATCATATGAACTTTGACGGTAAAACTGATCACGCTCGGGTTTTTCGTCAACCAGAGAGAAGAGCTAACAAGTGTAAGTTATATACAGAGTGAACAGTGAAGTATGATAGAGGTAAGTGCTAACCTGTCATGGCGGACAGGAGGTCAGGTACTAGAAAAATGACAGAGAGTGCGACAAGTAAATAAAATATGCCAGTGGGTGGATGTGGCTCTTCGACATTTTGATGCGTTACTGCCTTCAACTCCAGGTCGGCGGGCGGATACAGATGTTCAATACTCCCATGCGTTACTGTCAGGTCGGCGGGTGGATGGGAGAGTTCAAAACTTCCATGTCTTACCGTCGAATCGGCCGATGGATGCGAGGGTTCAACGTTCCAACGCGTCGCTTCCTCTCTCACCAACTCCTTTTTGGTATCACTGGGTGGATGGGAGTTTTCAACATCTGGATATTTTAATTCCAGTTCCGCCGGGAGAAGCTCATGTTCAACACTCCGATGTGTTGCTTCCTTGCTCACCAACTCCTTTTTGGTTCCGGTAGAGAGGAACGATTTTTCAGCAATCCGGTGCCTCAATTTTTTACACACCAACTCCTTGACGATTCGCCATCCTTCCTCACCAGGAGAAGCCATCTTTTTGTCCCGGCAGAAGTTGTCCCCAAGCAGATCGACGTCAACACCGTATTCTTTTCTCAGCTGCGTCTTCAGCTGATCCTCAGAAATACTAGCTGGCGTCAGGGTTCGCAAAATTTCATACATGCCGAGGACAGCGGCAGGATCACCGTTTATCATCGCTGCGAACCTTCAGCTGCAGGAATCCAACAATTGAAAGACATAAGATACCTTGTCGCCGCATTGCGGTGAACATGACTTTATCTTCAGGAGCGGCAACCATGAGGATAGATACCACCTTAGCAAATAGCATCCCCTCACCTGTAATATCCGGGATGTCAATGCCTATGTCGTCAAACGGACGCGGGCGCATGTACTGCGGAATCGTGAGCCATCGTCTTTCCCTCGCAAATGCGTAATTTTCGACTTACAACATAATCACATGGCGTCGACTTGGTGATAAAAGAAATTTGGTGCAGCAAGTCTGGGGATCGCTTGAAAGACGGGTCTGGGGGCGGAATGCCACTTTCAAGCTCTGTGTTCTCTGTCTCCGAGTCCGGGATACCCTCGCTGGCCTTCTCCTCGTCAAAAGTGACTTTTCCGCAGATGGCTTTGTGAGGTCTAGGGAATCCGTGTTTCCAATCTTTCTTCTGGCATTCCCTACAGGATGAATAAGTTAGCGCTGCGACTTGGCAACAAATACACCCAAACGGACACTGAACAGTATCTCACCACTCGATCTACGGCTTTGCATTTGCTACAGATTCGAAAACGTTCTCCTTCGGCAGACACATCTTCTTTGCGGCTGCAATGGAAGCATATATTTTGATGATTTTCGGCCTCTTTTCGACGAGAATAATCCCGCATGTCTTTCGAAAACTGGGGAAGCCTTCCTTCGTCCTTGTAGAATTTCTTGGCTTGGCGTAAGACGTCCTTGATGGGTCTGCTGTTGTCGCGGTACAGCGGCTTTCCTACTTGAATCTCCTCTCTGTTATCGTACTGGTACTACTATTCAGTCCTCGTTGATGCCCGAGTAGAAGAGCTCACAAATGCGTTTAGGATGCTCCATACGGTCATGGTAATGAAATAGCTTCTTTTCAGCCGGTATCCGTCGAATATCTGTGTAAGCACGATGTCGTTGGTCTTGACCAGCTCCTCGAATGCTAGATTCTCCAAGAGCAGCGGAGTACCGAGTGTTTCTTTGACTTGATCGTGGGGAAGAAGCATTTTCAGAAGGTGGATGAAGTCTCTGTCGTTTGTTCCAGAAAGCGTGGCGATGGTCATTTCGGGACACCATACCCGCCAGCTCTCCATGCCATTTGTAACACAGGCAGTTACGTATAGCCCTTCCAGGACCAATTCCTCCCGTCGCTGCTGCGACAACGACCTCCACCTTTCCTCTAAGTTGTCATTACTTAATCCTGTTACGGCAGCTTGACCTAAGTCTCGCTGAAGAAGACACATTTCCTTTGTGCGGATGTCCTTCTCCAATTGCGAAGATAGCAGAGATTCAGTGTCTCTAAGAAAACGAATACTCTGAGGGGACATGGCACTGGTCATTGCTAGGGGGTATTGTCCTGGAGGATATCTATCCAAAAGCTCATCTTCCCAACTTTGGTTCCACGCTTGACGATACTTGTGCTTGTCGGGGCGAAGTCGGGACATGGACTGGTATAGCGGTGGTTACAAGAAAGAGTCGATGGTGAGTGCTTTACATGCGGGAACAACGTTTAATAACAGTCAGTGACGTTACATACACGTGAAAACCTGATGGTCAACACTATGAGGAATACGTGAGAAAGAATAGACAAGAAGTGCATGGAAGCTGGGCATAACATTTTGGCTTGGGTTCCAGTTCCCTCGCACACTTCACGCAGACTGTAGGGGGCGACAATTTGGAGATTACTCTACCTAGATGCTGTGTAGAGTACTCCTAAAGTCAATACAATGCGTCCACCAAAAAAAAACAAAAAAAACATCTTGGCTTTGACATATTGCGGTGGAAGGTCCAGGGAAAAAATGATTTCCGGTAGTAAACTGAAACTGAGTCTCGACTCACCATTAGTTTCTTGAACTCTGCACGAAGAAAGATCATATCACAGCCTTTTAAGTTATACTTTGGTAAATCTTTAAGTATCACTCGCGACTTCGTCTCTCTGATTGAGCCGTACGCGGAGTGATTCGCACATACGGTTCTTTGAGGGGGAGTCAATAAATAACTTAAAAGGCTGTGATATGATCTTTCTTCGTGCAGAGTTCAAGAAACTAATGGTGAGTCGAGACTCGAGAGAACTCACAGACGAACAACTCAGAAATTTTCAACGGATAAATTCAAAAAGTGACAAGAGTGGGACTTGAACCCACGCCACGATACCGTGATGAGAAACCCCGATTTCAGGGAAGCCAGTCTGAGATTGCATAATCCCGCCAACTTGAGTCACACGCCTTAACCGCTCGGCCATCTTGCCTCGTCGATTGTAGCCGAACAATAAAAATAGATACCCCAGCCTCTACGCTTAGACGAGAAGCCGGCTTCTCGTTACTAGTGACTAAAAAGATAAGGGATGTTTTAGATTACTAATCCGACTCCTCTCTGACTGTGATCAAGGTGTATGGTGATTTTGCCAGGGGAACTCTGCAACAGCGGTAGTGGAAATTCTGCAATGAAGATGCCCTAAACTGAGTTGTTCTATTACCCTTCTCCTGGTGGATGGTGTGCCTTGCAAGTTGCATCTGGATATTTTTTCATTCTTCCAACACCGTGCGAGCTGCCGATTGATTTATCTTTATCCGTCTCGCCGCGTATTTCCGAGGTGTGTAATTTTGCCTTTGTACTTACCACACCTGGCCGAATCATCAATTCCATCCGTTTCCATCGCTTTCGACGACCAACATCGGCATGCTAAACTTCGTACCGACGGACATCTGCTCGAAGAGTCTTCTGGGCTATGGCTTCAACGATATTCCTATGCTTAAGAGTTACTTGGGGTCTGACTTCGATTATCAAGACGCGGGTCGCGCCTATTCAGCCGATGTATACCATCTCTACTCCGGGTCTCTCGTAAAACTCTTTATCCGCTGACGTCTTTTGTTTCAAGGCTAAATGGCGATTGGTTGAATACATCATTACAAAATTTGACAAATCGGTTTCACGAGTAACAAAAAATAGAAACCACCGGGTATGGTCGGTGGTGACTCGGGTCATGAGCTGGGCGTATATAAATGTGAACCCTGGGTTGACCTTCTAGTCTTGCCGTTGTACTAGCCGCCAGCAGCTATCTCCCATCCCCCGTTCTCTGAAGCTGAGTTGTCGTCATGCCTGGTTCGTTGCGCATTACTGTTCTGCTATAGCGTGTATTGACGCACTTCACAGAAAAGAAAGAACTCGTCCAGTCCCCTTTCAAGGCCTTCATTACGTCGCCGAGGCGCATGCTCTATGCCATCGCGTTTTTCCTAGTCTTTGCCTTGAGTTCGTAGCATATCCCTTCGATTCACTATTCTTTGATGCTCAACGCCTTCTATCCCACTAGCTACATCGCAACTGGGCCTCGTCTCGCAGCAGCTTCACAATGGTGGCAACGACTACGCCAACTATCCCGGCATGGAATACAAGCATGACCTAGGCTTGCTACTCTTCAGCTGTGTATTCACCTACCTATACCTGATTGGACATCTATATGCTCTCGGTCTTGGCTGTACGTTTCTCTGACATGTTTCTGACACAATTTAACGCCCATGATAGTAATCACCTTCTTCACCTTTGTTGGTGCTGTATTCTGGGGAACTGGTGCAGGTGTAATGTTTCAAGTCAGCCCCTTCCGATCATACAACTGTGGTAATCCCGCGGACTCGTTCTCACCCAACTGGGCGCGGTTCGCCGATCAGTGTTCAAGGATCGTGGCTATCCAGGGTATCGCATGGGCGAACTGTGAGTAACATCGATTGTTATCGGACATGGCGCTTATGTTGGCCTTCTAGGGGGCTTGTTCGTCTTCCTGTTCTTCGGAATGCTCATCCACAAGCTCGAAATCAAACCTAGACCCAACGTGACTTTCTACGGGCCTTAGATACTCGAAGGAACCCAGCATAAATTTCTGCTACATTTGTTCAGCGATGTTTAACGATCCATGTCTTATCATGACCTCTATATTACTTCAATCTTGTTCCTAGTAGAAAACAAAAGTTAACTGTGCAACCTTTCCAGGTTTAGGGAAATGAGAATACAACATACTAGCAGGTTGATTGCGTGTCGTAGGTCCCGGTTACTGCAACTGAGGACCCTGAAGACCGAGGTTACACTCGGTAGAACATATTGCAGCTTATATCTGTCGCAGATATAGATCCGAGGTGGTTGATTGTAGTACCGATGCATTAGACGCTACGATCAAGCTTACGCGACACCTTTCTTTCGCGTCGGGAGATGTCGGGACACCGCTGCACAGTGCCAAAAAAGGCAGATGACGCTTTCTTCCGGCACGTTGGCTCCCGAGGAACGACATCAAGCACCAATTAAAACGCCGCCTGTCCCCTTCTTCAACAACTAGATCGTTAACATGGCCAGTGCAAAAGTTGCGACATTGCTAATCCGAGTAAGTAATGGTCGTTTCCTTGTTGAATACCAAACTTATTTCTTGCGCGGAGAGACTATCGCGAAGCCAATAAGTTCCACCCTCAAGGAGCAAGCTAAACGGTCCTCTTGATGTTCATTCTTGCTTATTTAATATGCTTACTTTTTATTCGCAGGCATGACCGGTTTCGAACGTTTTGCGTCTCGTTAGCCCAGCGAATGTACCGTGCCGAAGTGAAGCTGAGAACAGGGCTGCTGGGGGAGCCCGCGAAACATATACGCCCACTTTCTGAACAAAAGTGTGTCATGCTTTTTCTTTCGGAACTTTTGCATGTCTGATTCCATGCACAGAGCAATAGATAATGGGGCTAATGCCTTAGCAGAAGGATTCCTATTCAGTGTGGCAGCGCTCTTAATCATAGGAGAAACATGGCGGTCGTCTCGAAGTCAATCTAAACGTAGAGACGACGTGAACGACAAGTTAGACGAACTGGGGACAGCAGGTGACGGAGCTGAAAACGCGAATGAATGTGCTCACAGATCAGCTGGAGCAGAGGGACCTGGAGCAGCAGCTGAGGTGCGTTCGTGTCATTCCTGCGCTCATTTAAGTAGCTTACCGCCAATACAGGAACGACGAGCTCACGCGAATATTGGAGCGTGTAGTCGAGATTGGGCTTCGAGGTGGATGGGCAGAGTTCGAGGATATGCACCTCTTCAATTTCCTCGCATATCTCTCGCGCCGACCGCCTCTTCAGTCTCTCGTTCTCCCCTCCCCCCCGATGATACCCGAATAGACATAGATACCCCAGATAAAGACCCAAAATCCTCAAACGATAAGCCCCCCTCTCTATAATATTCACATACTGTATCAAAATATAATGCTCTTACGCTTCACGAACCCAGAGGTTCGCGTATCACGCCGAAGTATATTTGAGAAGTTCGACGGCAACCTTTACCCAACAGGCAAGGCCCCCAGACCGTTAATACTGTGTCTACACCAGGCTGCTTTCCGAGCGGATTACAACTGACCATTGTTTCACACACAATGTGGATGGAGTATTAGGTCCAACTTTGCCGTGCGTTCAAATATTTCGATACTCGTCAAATTCACAATACAAGTGGATGCTAGGCCAAACTCTGGAAGAGCATAAGACACGCGAACGGCGAGGTGCGCCCGCGTTTGGTCTGCGTTCGCTTTGTACTATGTATTTAAGCCACCAAAATTATCGTTATCAGAAACTTAATCAAGCACTCAATATGCCTTCTCGTTCGTCTGGATATTTTTGACACAGTCTCTGGTAGCATGGTATATTAAAATCTAGGGATGCTGAAAAGAGAAAAGAATGAATTGGAATAACAATACAACGGGTAGAGTAACTCTACAAGTAGGGTAGCCAATATGGTATCAAGTACAATGTCCCATGAAATTAGACAACGGTGCAGTAGAACCTGAAAGCAGAGAGAAAACATCACATTATACAGCATCCTTCTTGGAAAGGACATATGTTATCCAGCCAAGACCACGAATACTCCTCGCCTGTCGCATCGCGCGTCGATATCGGACCTCCCGTCCTTCGAATCTCGATGACATACTCCTGATCTTCTTCACCCTCTTGTGGTGCGTCATACCACCACCGGAGCACCTGTCCGTCAACGGACCACCGCCCCGCGCTCACCGTCACATCGACGTCCACAAGGTTCTTTCTCTGACAGGGTATGCAGTAAATCGTCCCCTCCAGTCAACGTGTGACTCGATCGTGAATCAGTCAAATTGGACGCAGACGGAACACGAGATATAGAAGAGCTCGTGTCCACCGAGCTGTCATCATTAAGCAGCCGAGAGTGTGCGTAATGCACCAGGGGAACGAAAATCTCCGTAGCTGGCGACTCTTCGTTCACACCACCAGCCTTGAGCTTGTCCTCAGGACGCACGGTGACGACGAACTTGAAATGCGCCTTCCGCAGGTCGAACGCGATGTCCTTGGGTCGGCCAATGACTTTATGGGGCCAGGGTCGGTTGAACGCCCGATCTGCCCTGGCCCCGTCCGTCAGGAATTTATATGGATTTTCCCGCCATCGCATCATGTAGAGTTCGTGTCGTTGTTGCGCTCTTAACTCGTCAAAGCTCGTACCATCCCCCATCCCTAGCGTGGCCAAGGAAAACGTTGATGCAGCCCAGGCTGCTCGAACGTCGACGCCTTCACCCGACATCCTTCCGTTTCAATAAACCAGCTTGTGACTCCGTACCCTTGAAGGGGTACTCGCAATAATCGTCCTCTTCCTTCCCCCGCCGTACTCCCAAATCATCTGAACTCCACAAACTCAGGTCTTCCATATTCCACCCGTCGCCCCAATCATGACAGCTATCAGGGCAATATGTCCATATCGTCCAATTGATCGCGTTGGTCCCATCAGCGCCATTGAGACTAGCATCCAGGGCCCGTTCTTGTCGACTGTAATCGCCCTTGTGCTTCCCATGGTCCGTCCAGCCGTAACTCCGTTTGTTGTCCATGTCGAAAGGAGTACCTATCTCACCAAGAATGGTTGGGTACGATCCCAGGATATGTGCATCAACCTTGTACATAGACAGCTGTTCCTGCAACGACTTCCGTATAGGCGGTTTCCCCGACCTTCACGGCCTGCAATGGAGAGGAATACTTTCCCCTCAATACTCCCAGAGCATCGGCATTAAACCAATTCCAGTGCCGTGTTATAAGGGTAAGGCCGTCGTAATAGTGGGGAGAGTATGCAGCACGACCTTTGAGCACGCTCTCGTCGATGGGTGGTGGTGGTGCGAATACGGGGGGCTGCGCGAACATGATTGATTCCGGGTGTGACTCCCTGATACGAGAGGTGAATGTCTCAAAATGGGGCTGCCAATAATCGGCAATGAACTCGACT